CAAACTGAATTTCATAAATCAAACAAAGGCAAAGAAAGGAAAAGGAAAAAAAATCGATTAGTAGAGTACATTCGAGACTCCAAAAAACGTGTGTCGTCGCGTTGTTTTTCCCGCTGAATTTGTTTCACTCGTCGGAAAATGCCTTTCGCGGCTTTCACTCCGCCGCGCCGCTTTGATCTTTGTCCGCGACCGGAGTAATATAAATGTAAATCGGTGCGATTGAATTGCGTATTGGTTACGTAATAGCCGCCAGTTTCCGTGCGGCGGTTTTTCATGGCGCAGAAAAGTGGGGGGATGGAGAAAAAACGAAAAGGAAAAAAAAACTAACGCGCTCGACAATGTTCCTCAGGTGCGCCATGATTTCCGGTTCGTCGCTATAGCTCCGGCGCTTCGGCGCGGCGACGCTATCGATTATCATATTAATTTATTACGGAATGTCGTCTGTTCGCTCGGCGAAGTAACACGAGATCGCAGCCGTGCATACTTATACTCGCCGAACGCGTGGGTGCGGACGCGGGCGCTCCTGAATCATCTCTGCGCGCTCGACTGCGGGCGATCGAGTAAGCGATTAATCGAACCGATCTTGATCGCGCTTCTTAGGCGTGGACCCGTCTCTGACGTTATCGCGCGTATCGCTTGCCCCGTGACGAGCGAATTTAAAATACGCTGAAGTAAGAGAGACGGAGCCCAAAGCCGAAACGATCGGCCCGATCGCTCGGAGCGACCTTATTAAATCCGAGCGATGGGATTACACAAATTTGCGTGGCCCGTGGCGCGACCCGTTCTTTTTTTTTGTGGACAAAAAAGTTTACAAATATCGCCGGCAATTTTACGACGAGCGGATGCACGTTGCGACGTCCTGTATTAGCGAGGGGAAAAAAAATACAAACGTGTATTATATATATAGTCAAAGGACCGAGTACGTTATCTGCAGTCGTGTCGATCTCGTTCGCGCGATATAACAGTGACCATATCCATGGATTTTTCATGAATATTCATGATGCGCCGAACGGCGTGATACCGTGCAAAATCCTCCGGTTATTATCTAGGAATCAGCCGATCGGATAATATCGCGAGGAGCGAAGCGATATCTGGAATTTAACGATGCGGCTAACGGCGGAGCAGAGCAGAAAATGTGTTTTCTAAGCGGATTTACCTGTCCCGAAACCTCGAAAGTGATTTGTGATTTCCCATTCCCTTCAGCCTGCCGATTGACTTAATTGTGAGCTGAAATTTGATGTATGAGAATAGGATAGATTGCCGAGAAAATCGATATCGTTAGCATAATGTCATCATTAATATACGGCAAGCTGTATTCGGTGTACGTGGGCATCCGTGAGCCTCTTTTCGGATCTGGCATTTTTTGGCTCGATCGACGGGCAATCCTGCCTTAACAGTGCAAAGACGAATTCGCGATTGAGAAAGAGAGCGGCGGAATATTGAACGGGGGAAGGGGGGCCGTTCCCCAACACGGAGCGCCTTGGAACACTCGAAAAACTTCCAGATATGTAGCGCAATAATAATACGGCTCGTCCGCGCTCGTCCGCGCCCTCCTTTTTCCTTCTATTCCGACAAGACAACGTTATTGCCACACGCTGCCAAGTTTTCGATCTCGCGCTGAACAGCGTGATCATCGTAGGGCGATTTATGGAGAGCGATTATTGCGCGTGCGAAAACTGGCGGCTGGGTGGGTTCATAAAAGCGGAGCCACAAGAGTGAATGGAAACGTTATTCTGGATGATCCGGCTCTCGTGGAGCGAGCAAATCATATTCGTCGAAAATGCATCGCTGCCGCTTATAGCAAGCGTGATTTATAACATGCGTTGCTTTGAGTCGGTGATCTTTTAACGTGGCTACGTTCCTTTTCCGCGCTTGTATCTTGGAGATACTTAAACGATACCAAATGTTATTGCTCTCAATAACTTTATTAGACAATCAGTCGGACGTTTAACAACGATAATGATGCGATCACGTTTATTGTCCTTGAGCGTTGGATCTTGGAGCTGAAGCGCGGGCCCTTCGACATTCGCCGGAATGTCGGGAATGCGCGAGGTGAAGAGACAGACATTCGAACAGCTGACCGCTCGTCCGACAGCCATATTGCGCGGACGCGTTCCACGACCGATTAGCGGCCGCAGATAGAATTGCAAGAGTGACATAAATATTGTCGAGATAACCGCGCGAGAGTTATGTCAGCGAGTCAGGACGGGACAAAGACGACATAGGCGAAGGTATAACGGAAAGGAAACGGAAGAGTCGCTTTGTGCCGCGGGGGAGAGCCAGCCGGCAAAAAGCCCCGTGAAATCCCCGTAAAAACGGAGTCGCGACGACGAGGGTCGAGGAGGAGGAGGAGGGGGATTGGAAAGAGCGATAAATATCGCTCAGCATGGAAGTTTTTATTGCGTTGAGAGTGCGAAGTGTTCTTCTCTGTCTGCGCATTTCTCGCCGCTACCGTCTTTATCTTCGACTCCGATCTTGCTCGTCGTTGCGATAAGACTGATTCTGACACGAAACGACTGACTTCGACATTCGGTCATTCCGTCAGTGTATATTTTGTCTAATTGCTATTGCAACCTGTAATAATGCCGGGTGTCTCGAATAATTGGAGGAAATAGAATCGCATTGGGGCGCGTCTTGTCGTTATAAAAAATAACGAATGGGTATTGCATAACGTTATATAGCGGGATGAATATCAAGGTGTAATGAAATAGTCGAGGATTCGAAAGCGTAGCTACACGTAGAGCTTGTTTACTTTTCATTGCGGCTGCGCCGCGATGCAGCGGATCCAATTACAGACAGGCCATCGTTGGCTCCGATTAATTACAGAGCCGCAGCTGCTCATCTCGCCGCTCGCTGTATTCGTAATATTGTGTTTCGCGCTTCTCTAAATTTAGACAGCGTCTTTTCGCAGATTGGCCGCCGCCATTTGCAACCGCGCGATACACGCCAACGAGCATTTCGCTTATATCTCGTCGGATTTGTCTCCACGCTTGAAATAACGAATTTGCAATTGTATTAAAAGTCATGGAATTTATATTCGCGCACGTTGCGAGTACATTTGCGGAAGAAGAAGTGCGAATTTTGGAAACTTTTTCCTCGCGACGTTTGCGCGAAGTGCGAGATTCTCGTAACGCGGACGTGAGAGTTCGAGGGGCTCAAAATTAATGTCCATAATTCGAGAGACGGTCAGAAGGCCCGGGGAGGGAGACAAGACGAAGCGCGGTTTGGCAAAACATCATCTTGTTATCAGCGTATGTCGTGAAGATGGTGGAGCGGGCGTTGTTAGCAAGAACCACTCGATATATCGATCGGCCACTTGGGCCAAGTAAGCAGGTTTGCATGCGTCGCATGCACGTTCTGGTATTCGCTGGCAACAATGTGCATCCGCAAATTTGCACGGATATTAAGAACGCTGCACTTTCCTGGCTGACGGCGAAAGATGGGGATCGGTTAATTAGTCGTCGTCGTCGTAGTCGTTGTTGTCGTAAGATAATAACCGAGGCTAATTAATTTGATGCGTTATGAGCTCTCGGTACCGTCGTTAATGACAGAGGTGACCGTATCGTCGCAGAGGATGGCCGTAATTGCCCATTCATTTTTGTCCCACAAATATAACTCTAATTTTAGACATCGTAACCACGCCACGCCAGCTTTTTTGACTGTTAATTACCTTCGCATTAAAGAGATATAACTGTTTTTACAGCATTGTGCATTGTATTTATATCAGCGCACGAGAGTCATTCATTAACAATACTTCAATTTTAAACGAAAAAATTAGTTTTTATCTAAAACATGTTTTAGACGCGCTCCGATGTGATTTTACATACTTCAACGATCCGCGTGTCGAGAAACGGAAAATGCGAGTCTAAAGCAAACCAGGCATTAATCGGGAAAAAAAAAAAGTTACCTGCGATATCGCAAATCATTATATACGCTCTCGCGCGACTTCTACATGCGACACGCGGTCTAATTCGGACTTGGAGCGCAATTAGCGTCAGGCGAACAGCGCCATTTCTCGGTCCGACATTTACATAGCGCGCTTTCTTGTCGATAAGCACGATAAAACGGACGAGCGCGAGTCGTCTAGCCGATGGGCACACGTAACGCGCGATCTCTCGTCGGCGACGTCGGCGTGGCATCACGCCGGCGGATGACACGCTCCTGGTGTCGTATAACGAAATTAAGATTGCTAATGAAGAATTAATTATGCGTGGATAATCCGCGCGCGCAGGTTCAGCGCTTTATCGTGTATAAAGCGATTCGCGAGTGGCTTCAAACTCGATCGAAGAGTGATACACGTCCGTTCGCCTATATAAGGACAAAGGGAAGAAGGGCCATAATACCCCATGTCGAACGAGTGGGCATCGCACTTAATTAAGACGTCTGGCGCAATTAGGCAGCCTTTACGATCGGCATAAAATCTGATCATTCCGAGCACGCACGAATCAGGTTCTTCCTTCTCGCGACGGCAAGACGGTCGTTGCTACGACGGCATCTGTACTCCACGTGGGCTACCATTTTCAGATAAAGCCATTCCCGAACGAAGCGCGATCGACTCTCGCACACGAACGAGTCGCGAGACACACCTGCTCGAGCTCTTCATCGTACGGCAGAGTTCTTAAAAAATATTTATAGCAGCACGCAGCGGCAATGAAACTTGCTTTGATAGCTGGAGCGATCAATGCTTTAAATGCAGGATGGTTAAGCCTCTTGCACAATAGGCGATAGCGATAGCGACAGCGACTATCGCCTATTGTGCAAGGGGCTTTATATACTTCTGTTGCTTTTATTTCAAGAACAAAAAGATCACATTGTGAAATATACTGTTCGTCGGCATCGTAACGTGTAACGATTTCGCCAGGGATGTAAGGATATGATTCGTGATGAGAATTTATTTATTTAATTAGATATCAAACGTATCGATACAGACAATTGATTCACATTTGCGTATGCATTAACGCTATTCCGTCTAACGTTCCACGTTCCGTTTTGCTTTTCAGCAAGGATGTCGAGCAGCGGCGTGTCGAGCGGTCCAGTGAGCCAGGTATGCCGGCCGCACTTCCACAGCTCGGTTCTCCACCCGTGGCTGTCCGGCAGCAGCGCGGACACTTCGAAGACACCTTGGGGATTCCCGACGACGGCAACTACGGGCGGCTCGGTGAACGACGAGAAGCCGCAGAGTCCTCTGGGATCCTCGCTGCCGCCCACCAGTGGAAGTTTGTCGAGTCACGGTGGCGGCGGCCACCATCTCTTCTCCTTCCCGCCGACACCGCCCAAGGACGCTACGCCCGACAGCATAACCGCCAGCACGACATCCAGCACGAACAATAACAACTCCACGAGCGCCAATAATAATAATAGCGGTAATCCTCTTTCCGGGTTGGGCGGCGGTACCACCAGCGAGTACCAAGCGGCGGTCGCTCACGCGGCGGTAATGGGCGCGTTCATGCACCATCAGGACGCGCTGGGCGCATCGGGCGCCAGCTCGTGCGACATCAAGCCGACGGTGATGCTCGGCCACCATCATGGAGCGCCCTCGCCGCCGCATCAGCAACACAACGGTTCCAACAACGGCAGCAATGGTCCCGCCGGCACGAACGGCTCGTCCGCCGGCCAGGTGAAGCAGCGAGAAGGTAATAACCAATCCGGCAATGTGACGGGCAGCCAACAGGCGAGTGCCACGCAACAGCAGCAACAACAGCAACAGGACGCGTATCAGAGCAACAACGGGGTGCCGGCCGGCGGCGGAGGTGGTGGCGGTGGTGGTGGCGGCGGCGGCAGCGGTGGCGGCAGTGGCAATGGCGGCGGCGCGGCCTCGCCCTGTAGAGACAGTTACGCGGCCGCGGCCGCGGCCGCCGTCGCGGCGGCGACCAACAGCCACCATGCCACTTCCGGCTCGCAGTACGATCCGGCCGCGAGCGCGTACAATATGTACCAGCACCTGCAGTATCCCACCCACCATCACCATCATCATCATCACGGCGCCACCTCGTCGTCTACCGCGTCGTCCCACAATCCGCACAACGGCAGTACAGCCGCGGTCGCCGGTATTTTCGGTCATCATGCCGGCGGTGCCGGCGCCGGTAACGCAACCGGCGGCCTACCCGGCGGCGCCGACTCGAAGCTCCTAGTCGGTCACGCGGCCGCGCACGGAAACACACCGGGCTCGCCCTCCGCGCAGCAACAGCAGCAGCAAAAGCCGAGGAACAAGTCGAGGACGTCCGCCGGTAAGCGGCACGCGCCTATCACGGTTCCTTCTGTTTTTTCTTTCATTTCTCTTTTTTCGATTATCTTTCTTTTCATTTCGAAATTTGTCTTCAATTTCGAGTATTTGGTTTGTTCTTTTCTTTGCTTACATTATCATTTACGGGAAAAATGTTCTAGAAAATCTTAGATGATTGAATAAAAGTCCTTTTAAACCCTGAAGTCTTAGGAATAAGCTTGATAAGTAAAATCTTTTTTTTTTTTATTAAAAAAATTAAATTTTTTAATTTCTGTTTTGAGTTGTTCCATAATTTAAAAACCTTGAAGCTTTAAGTCACGTTCTGAATGAGATATGACTGATAAATCACATTTTTCCCGTATAAAATGTTGGGATTTTTTTTCTTGAATTATTTATCAGTTACTTTGCGTAATTATTTGCTTCGGCATCTTTAGTTCCGCTTCTTTGCACCGGCGTCGATTGTTGAAATTAAAAATGTTAATACATAAAAATTTCAGTTAGTCTTTGTACGCATTTTATTTTATCTCACATTTTTAATACTATATTGCATTATCGAAGAATCTGACATACAATATTTTGTGCAATTTATATAAGCTCAACGTAATCGACGCCAATGCGTTTTTTTTTCTTCCTGGTTTTATAATATTACTTTTTCTTACGTTAAACTTGTTAATTTTCAATTTCATTTAACTTTAAAGATATTCTTTGTTCACTTTCTTAGAAATTATTTTTATCTCGCTTGTATTCTTCTTCGCTCGACATCCATTCGATATATTTTTCGAAAGCATTTCGAGTATTGGCTGGATACGTAAAAGAGTATGAGAAGAAACAGACGGGATATATTTATCAATTTTGTTTTATTATTATTCGTCTTTGTTTCTTTTTTTTTAGTTTAACCGTGAGCTTTCGGTGGCGGTCGTCTTACGCTTAAAGTTCGTTCAGAACACGTTCTTACCACCCGTTTCTCTCGTTTTTTTGAACGAGCTGTGTCACAATAGAAAGAAAGCGAAAGAGAGGGAGGCACTGATTGTGATTTTTTGTATTTTGCCTCACTAATGTGTTTTTTGCGTGGCACCCACTCGAGAGAGCGAGCGCGAAGCACCACACCCGATTTACGAGATGACACACGATATATGTATCTATACATCCCTATCTATATAAATACGCATACTGATTTTTCCCCTCACACTCACACACACACATCGTACACAATTCACACGGACACACATACATGCGCAAAGACATAAATATGCGAAGAAGCACAGGTTCTTTTTTCGATGTGGTGTGGCTAGCGCTGCATTTTTGTTTTTGTCACGGCAAAGCTCCCTCTCAAAGAGTCCACGGAGACCATTTTTCGGTGGCGTACCCTCGGAAGATATATTTTTTTTCTCGCCGCGCGAGCACACGCGACTAGGTCGCATTCGTCGCGGAGATTCGCGGACAATTATACAGATCACAATTATTATCCGTAAAGTACGATCGCGACGAGAGTGTACAGAGTTCTCGAGCGATCGACGAACTTTTGAGAAATTATGCGTACTCTCGGTAGCGTCCGTAATGTCGTATCGTCGTCGAAGTGGATGAAGCCGAGGAGGAAGGAGGAAGGAGGAAAGGAGAAGGGGGAAACGAGAAACGGTTGAAAAATGCCGGATACGCTGATTGCGGTAATAATAGCCGGTCGCTCTCCAGCGTGGCGGTGGCGGCGGCGGCGGCGTGGTAAAAATCCCAATTCCGGGAACAATGGCCCCCGGCTTCGCGCCATGGAAGCCCGTTAATTGAATCGACTTACGACACACACCAGCTAGCCGCGCGCGGAACCTCTCGATGACGAAGAAGAAGAAGAAGCCAGACGGGGGCATCGCGGCAAGCGGTGACGGCGCAGCGACGGCACCCGCGGCACCGACGGTTCATTTAGCGACGCCTACCGCGATCGCCGAGAAAATCGCCTGTGAGAAGGCCACGAAAAATGGCTCCCGTAACGTACAGCGTCAGCCGAGGTGACGCTTGAGAGGTGTCGATTGAGCAATACCTCGCGGCACGAAAAGCACAGACGGTACAGACACGGGGATTGGCAAACATCCTTCGCGCGCGATGGGAAGGAGGTGAGAATGAGGTGGAACGACGGATACTCGAGATTCCCTCCGCACGGACGAGTGAACGAGGAACGACTTCAATCGTTCAGAGATATGTAATTAAAACGATAGGCAGGGAAAGCGGCGAATGGCAATCGATAATAAATCGCGCAGTAAACGATAATAATAATAATACATTATGGATAAATAGATAACTTGTTGGCATATTAATATGAACTATGGGCGAACATTTTCATTCGGTTTTAAATTTCAATCAAAAATACACATCGCAGTATCTTATATAACACCGATAAATAAATTAGAAGCCATTAGCGTATTCGCGCTTACAATTAAACAAAGTAAATAAGAGGACCGGGTCAACGACCAGAAAGTCATCGAGGAGCAGAAGCTTTGCAGAAAGTCCTGTTAGGTTCGGAAGGATCGCAGAATTACGGTCGCGTACGTAATTAGCAGAGAAAGAAAGGACAATACGTGGAAGGGAGATAGCCGTGGGCCAGCGCAAAATTCGTGACGGAACGCCGCTTCTTTCGTACTGAATCATAACTCGACCGTTGACGGTAGAAGTAGCACGGGACGAGAGGTGGTTTCCTTCCTTCACTTCGCCGATTTTCTTCGCCCGCCAACGACCACCGGTGCTCAGGCTATAACTAGGCCCTGAATAGCCCTCGCTCGTTTGTTTCTGTATCAACAATGAGTTGCCCGCGACGATAAACGTGGGCCACTTAGAGAGAATTTTCTGGAACTTTTTATCAGCACAAGCTACTTGATATACATAATAAAAAAAAAATAAAGCAAAATACAACGGCGTATATTTGGATACGCAAGAATAAGGAGCGTTTCCAAATTTTGCAGCAGAACTTCGTCACGATACGATATACCCGTTTTATCAAGCATTTCGTGTTGTAATCCGGAAAGCTTCGAGAAAGTTGAAACGGAAGCGGAGGGTCTAACGAGCGCTTCGTTGCATGCCTGGCATTAAGGTCGGAGGTGATGTCGAAAATGGGAGCGTTACCAGTCCCTTTGGAGTGAAACCGGCCATTTTAGCGTCACCTTCTGACACGAGGACTATATTTCGAGTACGACGCAAACGAGCGTCACCTCGATGTTTCGTGGCTGATACCCATCGTCTGCGTCGGTGTCAGAAACCGTCCGCCTGTTCGTTCCATCCATTACCAACCGATCGATAGCCAGAGAGAGGCATCGGTCAGAAGGAAAACACGCGCAGTCGGAAATTATTATCGGCGATATAAATCCCGAGAAGCGGTGAACGACCATTCTATTAAGCCAACAAAATCCATCGATAATAAATATAAATTGCGAAAAATTTATTCCGCAAAAGGATGAAACTGCTGTTCTCGAATAAAACAAGAATGTCAATTAGAAAGTAATACAGTACTAGAGAGAAGATCAGGATTTAATCAGCAATCACCGAAGCGTCATCGAAATCAAATCGGAAAGCAGTGAGGGGATCAAGATTGAGCGCGTTTATGCCGCTCTGTTATTGTCGGCATGAAAGAGCATAGCAATCGGCGATCGACGGTAGTCGTGGGTGCTTCTTATCACCCCAGAATCTGCGGATTGGTAAGACCCAAATCGAATTAAAACGCCGCGCGGAGGAGTGACTCGGGCGGGTCTTCTTCCAGTTAGTTCCGAGATCGATCTGGGCGACCGAAACGACAATTAGGCGAGCATTAAACGTGGCGTTTCTCACGCTAGAATCCAGGATGCTACGCGATCCTTGATTGCGCGTCTTACACGCGCGTACGACAAGCCTCTGACGAAAAGACTGACGTTCGACTGCTCGGTTACAGATTCATCTAAGTACGTGGTGGATTCGGCAAACGAGCCGCTCGCGTGTCGACAATTACATGCGACCTACGTTACGTGTGCTAGAATTATTCCACCGCCGTCAAATTTCGCGTTAAATTGAGGTCGAGTCATTAATCAGCGACGCGCGTTCAATCGATATCGCCATCATCAGCACGACATCTTTTCGGAATTATGATATGATTTTCAATTGTTACACCCTTTATATAAAACTGAATATATCTCGCAAGATAAATTACACCCCCACAATTTTCTTTTCAACAATAATCAAAACGTACACTAGCAATAGATGTCAACGACCAGAATTGATCTAATCGCAGGGTAGTAGTCGGAGGGTGGTTTTTACGAGTATCGTTAAGATCGTTCAACAGCCACTGAACGGAACTCAATTTACCTTTACTTCGAATCGCGCTCAATCGTATATGATCGCGTAACAATTCGACAATTCGGTCTCTCGTACGTCAAAAACCCGAGGGACCCGACGACGCAATTTAATAGCAATAATTTTCAGTACCGGCCGATAAACTCGGCTATATCTCCGCGGAGGACGCAGCTCGGAGGACGATTCGTGAAACGCGCATTTCGGGAGAAGTGATCCTTGTCTCTCCACGATCCTTTCTTCTCTCCCGTCCAAAGTCGCGCGTTGCGAAAGATCCCAAATTTATTTTCCGCCGCTAATCCCGCGGGAAAGAGCGCTCTATTAATTATTATTGGATTAACGTTGATCCTTAGAAACATTTAGAAAATAAATTTGGCAATCTTCGAGCAACACCGTTTTCCCGTACCGTCCGGTCATAGACCGGGAGAAACGAACGATCGCGAATGAATCCCTATCCTTCTTCCCCCTCATACTCGCTTCTTTCTCTCGCAGTGTCCTTGGGACTAACCAACCGCACTAACGTAAGTTCGATCCGTGAATCCTATAAACGCCCATGGTCTTAAAGAGACTCTGCTTTTGCTCTGGTAATCGCTTGATATTGGTATGTCTGCAACTCTGCATGCGAATTCTTTCTCACGAGTCACCTGACTGTTCCGCAAATCTCTCTGTAAACGCACGTTGATTCACCGAAGTTAAATTATAGATATTATTACGTTAAACTAATGTCGTTATTTATCGCGCAATGCATTTCGATGTAGTGTGTAACTTGAAGGGCCAATGCTAGTGGAAGAAAATGCCATTTCGCGGAATTAATACAAAATGAAAATAATAAATGGAGAAATATAGATTCAGGGATGGCATTTTTGCATAAAAATTTTTAAAGGTATAATATATGAGAGATTGAGAAAACGATGAGTGCCCCTTCGCGCGATCAACGTGCTTCCGTGTTCGCGTGGGAAACGTTGGAATCGAGTTCTCGAAGAGAAGTTCTCGAGCTGTGTTCCCACTTTGACAAATACGATCTCGCGTTTCGCACGCGAACACGGGCGAGTGTAATATTGCTGTGCGATTATGAACTGCGCCGAATTAACATGGTTTTCGTTCCGTCGGGGTAGAGGGTCGCGAGTGCGTGAATTGCGGCGCCACATCGACACCCCTTTGGAGACGAGACGGCACTGGCCACTACCTCTGCAACGCCTGCGGGCTTTATTACAAGATGAACGGACAGAATCGACCTCTCATCAAGCCGAAACGACGCCTGGTAAGTACCTAAGCTGCGTTAGTTTCTCGAACGAGCGACCGTGTACGATTATTTCCGTCAAGCTTGACGGCAGAAACGATTAATCCGACGACGCAAAGATAAAAATAGACGGCAATTTGATTTTTTTACGCTCGACATCGACCGCTTCTGATTAATAGGCATTCGTATGCTCATGTTAATTTACATATCTGTTTTATTATCATTATATTAAGTAGAAAATTATGTAAAATTGAAAAATGGCGTGGAAATGCATAGTGCTTTGCGCGATAATCTCGTGATACATTTAACGACTGAACTTTGTATATTATGATATCTCAATCTCGAAAAAAATCCTACCGACTGTCTACACCTTATTCGCAAAAGTGCGTCCTTGATCGCTTCCTTCGTGCAAGCGAGACACACATACTTAATTAGCACGTACGTATATAGCGGAGAGAACGAAGTTATGCGTTTCTCGCGGTGTGTAGATATAGTAATCAGAATGCAAGATAAAACAAGGCCAAGTTAATTTCCTGTTACCCGCTGATTAATATACGCTCCGCTCCTCTTCACCGTGATTAGCAGCTCCGTATCGCAGAGCGCGCCCGATGATGGCGGGTCGAATGATTTTCGTGTGGAGGATCGCCGCGCCACTGTGTGTCGGAGAACGCGCGGATATAGTCCTCCGTTAACGAGAACATCTTGAAACACCTTAGTCACGTCGGAAGCGCGAGACCTCGCGATCTAATCAATTTCAAATTGACCGTTTCAAACGGAAGCGATGCGTTTGCCCGAGTAAATTACCCCCCATCCCCGCGCGGTATTTTACACGTGCGATTTGTACGCGCGACAAAGAAGGCCAAGTCGAGTCCCGCGAGATAGAAATCTTTCAGGTCCGTACTAAATAGCGCGTTTCAAAAACTGCTTATTGTAGGCTCGAACACATTTCCGTAGAAAACGAGTGTGAACTTTTAAAATTTTTAATGTTAAAAATGAATACATTAATTATAAATTTACTGTGACTCACGCTAATAATAGATTCGTATCATCTGTGTTTAAAAGAGAATTGGATGCACGTTTTCAATCGTGGCGCGTTATAAGCAGCGGCGAATTCTGTACGTATCGGGTCGCCACCGTTCGATCGATATCACGGAACGGTAGCCGGAGGTTTCGTGCGATCGGCTCGTAGAATTCGTGTGAACTCGATCTATTTTTGGCGACTCGGCTACTAGCACCTATGTAGATGGAGCAGCCTCGTCCGAAGTACCGATGCGGAAACTCGATACCACCGGCTCCGCTTCCTCTTCCATCGTTCGGACTCTCCTCCCAACTGCGATTCGACCTGACTAAACACTCACGAAAATTCGCGGAATCGATCACGAAACGTCTGTTTTATGGTTTTACACTTTCCGTCTCTCTAATCACGTATTACCGAAATCGAATTCTCTCTCTCTCTTTTGTTTTTTATTGCGTACAGCGCATGGTTGAATCGTTCGCGATAGTGCGAGATTAACATTTTTCAACGCGCGATGCGTGATTTTACGACCGTAATTTTTAAACATTGATGCAAAAGCACGTTTCGACAGAAATGTTCTTATAGAACATTCGCAGAATGTGTGCGTGTCAATGTCAGTTAAGCGATCAAAAATATCACGACGGTTGAGCACGCAATCTCCGTGAAAAAGAAAGATTGTTAGGCCAATTAGACGTCCAGATGTTGCTCGCGGTACACTTTCACGAGTGTCAACCCGTGTCTCAGATCGCGAAGATCGCGGCTCACGGCGCTCCAAAGCGAAGGCGCGCCTCGTCGAGAGCGGCGTGCGAGATGCAACGAACGAGCCCGGCATACCTCCGATGCAGAAGCGCGCATTGACGTTTCACTATCCCTCTCGTTATCGCACTTTCTCCCTGGTGCGCGATAGAGCAAGGCTGATGGATTCAAAAGTTTTTCACCGGCCGGCGGTCGTCTCGCGAGTAATTATATGCCGCACGCCATGCGTTCGTTAATTGACGAAGTTTTACAAACAGCATCGCCGCACCGCCTCGCACACACCGTGTAATTTTCCGTTGCTATTTCTTTTCATTTTGTTGCTCGCGCTTAACGCATCGCGATCACACTCTTTCGCGAAACGCGCGGAGCTCGTTGCGATTTCGCTCGATCGAACTGCGCAAAACCTTGCGCAATTTCTACGGAGAAAAGTCGCTTCAAGGAATATATTCGACGCATAATTTATTGCAAATCTCTGATTACACGTATATGTGATATGTTTCTGCAATTATTCGACTATCGAGATATTTAAGGAAAAAACAGGAAGATTGGAATTTGTCGAAGAATCAATCATTAACATGTGTCAGAGAGTGGGACATTCTACATACAACCCAAATACACACTCTGGTGTATATAACTCATTTGCTGTCGCCGTTTAAACAAAGGCAATCGTTTCGCGAGTTCGCCATGACGACCCGTACAAATATTCCGACGCGATGATGAACCGACACGCCCACCCATCATTCATCCGCGTGCACGCGGTGGTGGTGCGGTGTGGTGCGTGCGTGACGTGCCCGTATAAAAACGCGGCCGGCCGGTCGATAAAATATGTATCGATTTAAAGCAGTGGGCGTACGCACGTGCGTGCGACACTTTCGGCGTTTTCCGTAATTTTCCCCATCGCGAGAGCTCCAGACACCCTTTTTCCACTCCCGGACTAAGCTAACTCACCGCGCGCGCGCGCGCGCGCGCCACTTACTTGTCCATGTTTACTTCCGGATTAAAAATTCATGCTGCCACTCGGCCGAAATTCATCCCCGATTGCCGGTTGTCCCGGCGAAATGACGGCCGATCGTTTGCGATTGATCGACCCCGTTCGGTAAACGATGCCGCGTACAATAATAGCGGAGCATTCCGTGCGAGGGGAAAAAACGTGTCCATTTATTATTCAACGATTAGTACCTACGTATGAAGATATAGCGAGAAATTACGATATAGGCTGCATTCGGAGAGCGTGCTATTAGCGCTATTGTATCATTCTATCTTTATCGCTCATTAAATGTAAAACAAGGATAGAATAAGCAAATAGCGCTAATAGCGCGCTCCCCGAATGCAGCCATAGCTTCATTTACCGTAGAAGGTGCGACAAAATTTGACACTTTGTTTCTTTGAGGGATCGAATTCTCACAGCGAAAAATCAATTCTATTTATTTATGTATTAAAGCGAGGTTTATACATAATGTATAAAACTTGGTTTATTTCCAAAAAGTACGATTGACAACGGTGTCGGATCTAACTGCTCGCGCGTTTCGAGTAACCAAAGTATCCCGGCTGAAAAAAAAGGGGAACCGCGCGCGCGCAAAGGCATATGCCTCTATCGCAATATGTTTCATTTTTAGCGTGCGTCCGACCGTCGACCGGTTTGAATCCATCACAGATGTGTCGCCGAAAAACGGAGCGCAGATACGATCTGGGAAACAAAAGGCGGCCACCAGGTATAACGCACGCGGGTGTGCACGCGGCCCACCACCCCGTATATAATAAAGTCGTGGCATATATTGCCCACCGCTCGTGTCCTCTTCCTCCTTTGTGCGTATTGAGCTACACGGAAATTCCGCACGCGCACACGCATATGCACGCATACGTACGCACGCACACGCGTGCGCCGTGAACTCCTGCGACGGCGGCGAGGTTTCGATCAGGCAGATAGCAAGGGTTGCAACCCCCTCCCTCCCGTTGCGACCGTCGCCCGCCATGTTTGATCTTTCAGGAAGATAAAACGCCGGCTCGAACAGCTGGGAAATTTTCGTTTTTTTTTTCCTAAACCTCTTTCTCTCCCCTTGATTCTCTCTCTTTCTCCATCTCTCCTCGCCCGTTCTTTCTCGCTGTTGCTCTCCGTTCGCGCTAAGGGTGGCTACGTGGCTTACCTATATATCTTTGCGTACATGCGCGGGGTGGAACATTGCGCTCATGTCGACACGATATGGCGTCGAGACCTGTGGGGAATAAGATAAAATAGTTTAATGTAATTCTTGGCAATATTTGTTAATATCGTTTAATACAATATAACTTGAAGCATTAACGATATTATACATTATAATATATTTAACATGTAAATGTGCTTAGTAAAAGCAAATTAATATAACGATAAAATTTATGTATGTATTTTTTTTTAGATATATACGCCTAATGAATTTAATTTTTTCATAGCGCACATGGTTATATCGTTAACTTTGCAAACGCGATTATCATTTAATTAGAAATGATAATTCTGAACATGAAATTTCCAATTTAACGATACTCTAACAGTCAAGTAAAAATGAAACAATTTTTTCTCACCTATTTTCGTTTTCAAAATACAAACATTTTTATAATTCACATTATTTTCGTATCTCCGTGATTTCGATAATTGTTTCCGTCTTCGCGTGAGAAAGTAATGCGGAAATCGCGGAAACCGCTACCGGAATCGCTCCTCGACGACATCACACACGGAGAAATCATCTTTTAGTCGCAAGCCGCGAGTCTCTCGTAGTCGCGGGGGAAAAGGAGGAAGGTACCGCGCGAAAAGGAGAGAGAATAACTCTTGCGCGCGGAGTCGCTCGTTAACGACTGTCCTACACGCTCCCCTGCTTCCCTTTTCTTCTCTCTCTCGTCCTGGGCGATGCTTATCTGCGCCCATGCCCGGTCCGTGCCGTGCAACGCTCGTCGAATTACGGTCCTCCAGGCGTTCCTGGGCATACCAGCAGAAACTGCGCTGCCATTGCTGTAGCAGAAACAGCAGCCTCGGCGAGACCTATTAAACTCCTGCTTGCTAACGACGCGCGATGCGTTCGCCGAGAACAGGAGAATTTGTTAGTAAGGAAAACGTTCAAAAAAAATAGTCAAATAGTCTAGAGTGCAATTGAATTTATACTTCCCGACCTTGTCTCGCGAGAAGCTCATTTGCGCGAAGTGAGAGCTTCGGAAATGATGTCAAGCATTTACATTCAAATGTCAACAAGACGGAAAGACGTTATTTTCGAAAAATCGTTCGATCCAAATTCAA